GAGTTCAGTTCCTGGTACCAGAGAAAAACCAAAAAAAAAAAAAAAAAAAAAAGACTCAGTATGCAAAAATATTGTGAAATATCTCATTAACTTTATTCTGTTAATTTTATGCTGACCTAGTATTTTGGAGGTGCTGAATTATATAAACTACGTTATTAAAATTAATTTCAACTGTTTGCTTCTTTTTTCTTTTTAGAAGATAACAGAAAATGTTAAATTATCTATGTGAATCATTTTTGTGGATTCTTTTTTGCTCACATAACACTATTATAGACAGTCAATAAGTCATAGTTGTTCTCACTGATAATTACTATGGATATATTATTACCACAATGACAAAGTATTTCTTATTTATAGAGAAAATGTCATAGCATAAGCAACAGGGTTTTATTGAGTCAAATTATTTCCCTACATGGATACAATTTATTTCTAGCAAAATCCTTTGCATTCGTGCAGAAACAGGTGTTTCACAGAAAAACCATGATGAGGAATGACAAAAATTTCACTGATCAACATATTGTTGCTGAATGTAAAAGGAAAACTAAAACTGACTATCCAAATTACAGAGAAATAATCTACACTAACGTTAGACATGTTAAAATTCACTCCCAATTAAACAAACTATGTATTATCACCAGTGTAGCCATGTATAGAAATTATTTGAAAAGCATTGTTTGTGTTCCACATTTTATTAAACATTCTTGGCAGAACTAACATCATTATTATTTCATTTTTGTCATTAAAATCTTGTGCTATGCTTTGCTTTATATTAACAATGACTGTACCAAGTGGTTTGCCATTCAAATCACTATTTCAGTTAGTGAATAACATTATCTTTTAAAGATAGAAAAAGCCTTATATTTTATAATAAAAAATACACTAAGCTTTTCTAACAGAAAAAGAGAAAATTATAACACAGAAAATGCCATGAGATCACTACTTATTTCTGTAAAATTAAAGAATGCATTTAGGAATTTTTTTAAAACAGATAAAAATATTTGTATTATTTCACCATTAATAAAATGTGGACAGGAGCGGGGGATTTAGCTCAGTGGCACAGCACCTGCCTGGCAAGCGCAAGGTCATGAGTTCAATTCCCAGTACCAGAGAAAAAACAAAAAAAAAATAATAATAATACTAAAATAAAATGTGGACAAAAAGCACACACATACCACTGAGACCCACAAGGACCTTCTCGGACTTCTCCAGGGTTATACACTTTTCCATTGGATTCACAGGGACAACTTTCCTTTAATACACACTTTCCTTTCTCTCCAATATCATCCAGTAGATAACCTAAAGTACATTATAAAAGGTTAATCTAGAGATTATACAAACATCAGTAAATCATGTCACATTCTGTTTTGAAGCTACTCCTAATTTAGTTCTTGCAAGTATGACAAGAAGAAGATAACAATTCCTTCTATAAGAATGACTCCTCATTTAGACTGGCAGGGTGCTGATGACACTTGCCTGAGGCTCAGTTTCTGTTTTGAAGAGCATGCTCCTGGGAAGCCCAAAATAGGAATAGAGAACATTCTGTGGAGTCGGGTGGCCCTCAGGTGTGTACAGATAGAAACACACACCAGCTTTAAAGTGTCTCTAATCCTCCTCTATAGATTGCTATGAAGCTAGACTAGGATCAACTGAATTGTTGAAATATCTTGCTGCAAATAAAATGCTACCCAAAGTGTGACTTGGCCTGTCACGGAGGTATTACCTTCTTGGCAGGTGCAGCCACTCACACATTCGCTGTCTTGAAAAGGAGCCACGTTAGAGCAAGTTGCAGGGTTCGAGAGCCCACATTCTTTGTAGATATGTTTCTCTGGGCATTGAGGCTTTTCTGGAAATATAAAAAATATATGGGCATGTAAATTAGTGAAAATGAATGAGACAAGTACATAATATTCAAACGAGGAGTTTTGCAAGTGGGATTCTTTGAGTCTGATTTTGAGGACATTAGTCAATCTTTAAGATACTGGATATAAGTAAATTATGTAAATTTCTCCTGCATTATTTTATACATTTAATTTAGAGAAAATGAATAGTGTACGTAATTTCATCTCAAATTGAAATCAGTTATTTTACTTGTATTATGAAGATTGATCAAAGCATAAGGAAAAGTATATTAATATTTGGAAGAAGCTAATATTTGTGTTTTATTATTTTCAAAATAAAATCATAGTACTTATCTATATATGTTTGATAAATTTTCCAGTTTTCCACAGAATTTACTCATTTTCCCCCACGACTTTTCAGTAATGATTACAAAGCTCTTAATTAAGGTCTTAGCCCCCCAACTGGGACTTGATCACATCACAAAACATGAGTCTCAGCTTCCTCATAAGCGCACGTCAGAGACAAAATTTTATTCTCAGATCCTTCCTAGGGTTTAGAATCTTTTGAGACAACTATGTGGAAATAGAGCTGAATTTTACAGTGTTAGGAGAACTTACTCATCACCTACAGTAGTCAAGAACTTACCACAAACCACACTGGAATCATCTCTCCAGGATTCAAAGACACCAGGCCCGTCAGAAGCACAGAGTCGGGACAACTCCGAGAAAGTGTCACATGCAGAATTTCTGTTTCCGCTTTGGCAGTACTCATCAACGCAGACTGCTTTGTAGTCACTGGATAAAGTGGCAACCCTCTTACATTTCTCAAAGTAAGTCCCAATAATGTTGTTACAGTACTGCAACACAAAACAGGATGTTTTATTAAAACATCAGAAAAATGGGCTATAAAATGAAGCTTTAGGAAAAGATAAACATAGAAGTTTTGTTTGTTTCTGCATAATATCCTGTAACTTTGACAGGAATAATTGCTTGTTTGTTTGTTTGTTTGTCTTTTTGAGACAGGGTTTCATTATTCAGTTCAGTCTTGAACTCACTTTGTAGTCCAGACTGGCCTCAACTCACAGGAATTCTCCTGCCTCAGCCTCCTGAGTGCTGGGAGAGAAGTGTTGAACACTGCTTGAAATAATTTTTTTTTAAGTATTAAGATTGATAAAATGACTTGTAAAGAACACTTCATTTCTGGCATTTTATATTGCTATATAATGTATAATACAAACACTATACCTAAATTTATCCAAAACGTCTCCAACCATAGTATGAATCTTAGAACTTGAGAAAATAGAAGGGGAAAGAAGAGCTTGATTAATGCCAAAGATTGGACTGGTAACTGATGGAATAACACAAGACACAGAAGGGATGTTTTCCCTTCAACTGGGAATGTGTGTATTTGATGAGCGAACAGACAACCCTAAAGTACGGTGTCTATGTGTTGTGTTTATGTGTGAGTATGTGTGTGAGGAAACTGTGAGAGTTTACTCTGAAAACAACATTCTGTTCTAAGTAAAGGAAATAAAGACATGTTATTGAATTAATAAGGTTCAAATTTCAATGTTAACAACGTTTTTGTTTCCAGAGAAACATAAAAGCTCCAATCAAACAAATGTGTAATTTGCACCAATCAGGTCAAGGAAGGCTGATAAAAAGAACTGAGTCACGTATAAACAATATTTTCTTTCTCTTTCCTTTGTGCATTTTTCTCATCAGTTCAAGGTTTCTTTCTGGTAAGAAACATTATGCTGTCTGCTCTGAGATTAACATACTGTCTTCTACATATGCTAGTCCTTAGTAAATGTACACTGGTTTGAACATAAATTTAAATATCACGTGACTGATATTATTATGCTACCAGAAGTTAAGTTCTAAGATGCTATGCAACCATGACAGCAGAAAGAAACAAGACCTCTACCACCACAGAACTCATTGTCTTGGAGAATACATGAGAAAAACTAAGAATGCTTAGTGTACCATCAGAAGTGAGGATGCACAGCATAGGTTACCAAGGAAAGAAAAAAACAACAGCAGCAAAGATCAAGGAGGGTTTCAAAGGAAGAAGGTGGATGACTTCATACAGCACCCTGGCTTCATTTGCTTTGCACAAAGATCATGAGACAGCTATTGGCACAGTGCGACCCAACATTCATCGATAAAGCAGTTGTTTCTTCTATCCCTACCATCTTTTGATCTTGCGAATTTCATTCTAGATTGAAATAAGAATCTGCGTATGTTTACATAGTCATGAAATAGCGGCAACCTACCAAATTAAACATAGCAAAATAACCCTAACCCAAAATTCACAAAGTAAATGGTAAGTGTTTTTAAGTATAATTACGACTGCCACCAAAAAGGCAGAGGATGTAGGGGTGATCACCGGGACTGCAGAGTTGGGGAAAGTAAGGGAGTGAGAGACAGTTCACAGATTTGTGCTGTCAGAGGAGAATGAAGTCAGTACCATCCAGAGCTCATGATGGAGAGGTGATGCCTAAGATCCTATGCAGAGGAAATGAGAATGCTCCCCTAATAGCCAGTAAATACCACACTGTTTGAGGGAAATTTTATCTTAGCATCTATAGCCCAACTAAATCCAAAAAATAGACTAGAACATTGGAGTTACACAGTTTTAAAAATAAGGTATGAGTGCCAAGAGGGGAGGTTTGCTATCTGACTTGAATGTAAGGGTAACAAATCCATTATAATTAAAACGGCTTGGTATTGGCACTAAACAGACACAACAGCCAATAGAACAGAACAGAAATCCCCGAGTCAAATCCAAACAAAACAAAAAACTGGGCACCAAGAGCTCACAATGGAGAAAGGATAGGCCTTTCACCAAATGATGCCTGAAAACAGAATTTCCACATGCAAAATATAGAATTTAAACCCTGATCTTACAACATACACAAAGATTAAAATAGATTTATTTAAAAAGTAAGTATAAAATTTATATTTATATATGATATATTTATATTTATATTAATTTATATTTATATATTATATTTGGAAAATACAAAACTCCTGGATCAGAACATAGGATAAAAACTCCTGCACATCACCTTTACTGGTGATTTTCCTGGATGTCATATAGAAACTCAGGCCACAAATGCAAAAATAAGTAAATGGAATGACATGGATCTAAAAAGCTCCCATATAACAGAGAAAACAAAAAATTGAAATGACACCCTACAGATTGGGAAAAATATTCACAAACTGAAGTCTGATGAGGAGTTAGTATCCAAATAAAAATTAACACAACTCAAAATGCAGTGACAAATAACCCATTGAAAAATGGGCAAAGATCTGAGTAGATATTTCTCCAAAGATAACACAGAAATGGCTAAGGTGTTTGAAAAGTTGCTGAACATCATTAACTATCAGGGAAATGTAAATAAAGACCACTATAAGATATTTTCTCACATCTATTAGGATAAATATTAGCAAAAAGTTGAAAAGTAAAAAATGTCAGCCAGAGTATGACACTGGTGGTAGAAAAGTAAACCGGCAGAACCGTTATAGAAAACAGTCAGGAAGTTTCTGAAGAAATGAAAGCAAGACCACATTATGACCCAGCAATCAAAGAAAATAGAAGTCACCTACTTACAAAGGTTTATACTCCTATATTATTGCAACATTATCCGCAATAGCTGAGATCTGAATACCTAAGTATCCGAGAGACAAATAACAGATAAAGAAATAGTGGAACATACCTACAATGCAGCATTATTTGGCCCTGAAATGAACAAAACCTTGCCATTTGCCACAACAAAGAATGTTATTCTTGGTGAAACAATAAAAATGAAACATACTGAATGATCTCATATGTGAACTCTTTAAAAAGTAATCAAATATATAGACAGAAGAAAATAGTTACGGGCTCAGGGAAAAGTTTAAACAAGTAACTGTAGATCAGAGGACACACAGTAGCCCATATGAAGCATGGACATGTGTAAAGACCTAATGTACATCATGAAGACTACAGTTAATGAAATTTTACTTTTTGCAAGATTCATGCTGAATGAGTAGATTTTAGCGGCTCTTAAAAATAAAGCAAAAAATGGGCAACTGTATTATGATTGACATTAACTTGCTGCAGCATAGTCACTTTTTACTTTCTATGCATATTCCACTAATGTCATGTTGTACACCCTTAAATATACATTGATGTTTATGTTAAAAAGAAGCCAGTGGGGAACATTGCTAAAATTTGTTACAAAATAAAATATAGATTTCTGACCTGTTCTCCATCTTCGCAAACTTCGTAGCTTTTACTAACAGCACTGGGACAATCACCAGGAATTTTACTATTGGCAATGTGCTCATTAATATCTTGACCTTAAAATGAAAGCATTGTTTAGTTTGAGGTATTCGTTATAAATAAATTCTCCATTTAGCAATGCATTCTTTAGACAAATGCAAATTCTGATGAGATTTATCCAAATATTGAAAAAATTATATTCTGGCTTTCCTCTAGAAAGCAATGTGTTTTAAACCACTGAAATCTTACCTGGAGTGCTATTGAAATTACCACAGAGGCCGCAAGTTTCGTATGGCTTGTACAGTGTGAGCTTTAAAAAAATACATTTATATTTTAATAAAATACTGAAAACATCTCAAGATAAAACTTATCCAAACCAAAGGATGGGGTCTTTTCATACTCAATTCTGTATAAGCTGGTTACTTAGGAGTATATGGGGTGTGATCAAAAAATACGGTGATTTTAAAAATGTATTACATTAAGAGATATATTGTCATTAATCCCTCTCAAAGGAGTCCCCTCCACTTCCAACACACTTATCCTACTTTTCTTGCACTTTCCAAAGTGGTTTAGGAATGTCTCTTTCATGCCTTTAGTTGCATTGTTCTGGCTGCCTTGATTTAAAACATTTCCCTTTCATGGTCATTTCGACTTCAGGGACAACCAGAAGTCACTTGGTACCAGATCCAGTGAATAAGGTAGATGAGGACACACTGTAAGGTTTTGATGAGCCTGCTTTTTGCTAGGTGGCACTTGGTAGCAGCATTCTCAGTATGTTTAATCACACCTTGTACTAAGGCCTTTTTATCAGAAATAACCTCCAGAATTTAGGACAGGTCCAGTTTTCTCTCTCACTTACTAATTATGTGTCATTAGATTATTTAACTTTCCCTGGCCTACATTTTCTGAGTTCCATTATCTGCTAAATAAGATTAATAATAGTATATACTTCAACCTATTTTGGATATTAAATAAAATAATGCTCAACATAGTGATGAATACAGGGATTTCTCACCAAATCTCAAGTGTTTAAATTCCTTATAGCATATTACTTTTTTGTTTTGTTTTGTTTCCAGGACCAGGAATTGAACTCACGACCTCACACTTGCCAGGCAGGTGCTGTGCCACTGAGCTAAATTCCCAGTCCCATAACATATTACTTCTATTTAAAA